ACACTGTGAATTCACCAGATCGAAGGTAAGAACTGCAATGAGAAGCCAGGAATAAAAAAAAATCTAAATTTAACTAAACCAAACTAGCCAGCTCTCTTGATCTTAACACAAAAAGGAAGGTTAAGTCGAGGTGAAGAGATTCTAAGAGGAAGCATGATGGATGGTGTCTTCTTATCAGCATTTGAAAAGCGTTAAAGTAGAAACAGCCATGAGGCAGTTTTGAAATTTCCACAATTTATCTACAGTTATGAAATGAAAAAACACAAATCTTCAGGACTACTGAAATGATTCCAACAGTTTTAGTTCACTCAGGGAAAATCCTTTAAAAATGCCAAAAGTCTGGGGTGAGAAACAGAGGATGTAAGGACAAGATACAGACCAAGGTTTCTGTGAACCCAGGTTGGGTCACAGTTTACAACTTAAATTGTGTGAGTTTTATTTGTTTGTTTTCAGGGCCACACCGTGCTGTGCTCAGGGCTTATTACTAGCTCAGGGATCACTCCTGAAGATGCTCAGGAGGCCATATTTGATTCCCAGAAAAGCACCTTACTACTGTACTCTCTCTCTGACCCCTTAAGTTGTATTTTATCTTGGAAGCCAATTCCTGAGAATTTAATCAGTTAGGTTCATTCACTTGTAATATCAATTGGGTCTGGAAAAAAAACTTTGCTGAAAGCTTTTTAAGTTTCTTTTAGTAAATTCAGTTGTATACACTTAGGCATTTTGTTCAGAATTAGCCAATGTAGGGCCTTTCCCATGTTTTATTAGATAGCATTTCAATTGCAAACATGTACATTAAGATATATCTAAGTGGCCAAACTATAGAGACCAGCAGGGAAAAACAGGTGTTAGAACCATCTTACTACAACACTACAAAATTAGCCCAAAGTATTCATAAACCCAATGATGACAAAAATATTGTGTAATATGTTTCTAGTATACTGCGGAAGCAACTATCCTCTACAAAAGTCCTAATTCTTTTTTTTTTTTACAAAGCTTTCATGTTTGAGTTTCAGTCATACAATGATTGAATATCCATCCATCAGTGCACATTTTCCACCACCAATATCCCCAGTATCCCCCTCCACCATCCCACCCCTCCCCCTGCTTCTATGGCAGACACTGTTCCCCATACTCTCTCTCTCTACTTTTGGGCACTATGGTTTGCCATATAGATACTGAGAGGCTATCATGTTTGGTTTCAGCACACATCTCCTATCTCGAACGATTCCTTCAACTATCATTGACTTAGTGATCACCTCCTATTCCAGCTACCTTCTCCCCCAGTTCATGAGGCAGGCTTCCAACTATGGAGTAATATTCCTGGCCCTTGTCTCTACTGTTCTTGGGTGTCAGTCTCATATTATGTCAATTTATACTCCACAAATGAGTGTATGCCTGAAGCCCAATTGTGAATAACTTTATAATCCATGGTGACTAAATAATTTTTTTAAAGATCGCCATATCTCCTAGTGTGGCACACATATCATGCTTAGTGAAATGAGTCAGAAAGAAAGGGACAGACTACACTCATTTGTGGAGTATAAATTGACCTACATTGTTTCAATACAAATCCATTCCCCAGTGTCCTCTTTCCTCTACCATTTTCCCCAGTTTCCTCCTATCTGCCAACTTGCCTTTATGACAGCATTTTGGGGGGAGAAGGGGCACACCTGGCAAGGACTGACTCATCTCACAGAAAATGCAGGGAATCAGAGGGATATGGTAATATCTACTTCCAGCGTGGAATCTACTCACATCTGTAGAATTGCTAATACCTTTGGGTTGCTTTACATAGCAGTGGGGCTCCATTGCATTGCCTCCATAAGGAAGACACAATATTCTTTTGAGAGAATCTAAAGGGTAGGTTTAGCACCATAGGTATTTGGTGTGCTAGCACTCTGGGTATGTCTAGAGGAAGAACGAATCTTTCTGGACACTTGAAGTATAGTTTATAAATTCCTCCTGAAAAGTTGTCAGTACTTCTTTGAATTCTATTGGACCCTGGTGCCACTACATAATCTTAAATTTCAACATTCAGTATAAAGGAGCTGCACTATCCTAAGGATGGCCCTGGAATGGTTTTCATCTTTGCATGACATATGATGGTCAGGGTAATATTTAAAGGAGATTTAGTTATCAAGGAATATCATGGGAACATGGACTGGAGAAGGAAAAGTCTACAGAGTCTTCATTAGTTTTGAGAACTTAAAAATTCCTTTTCATTCAAATTCCTCTTTGCCACAAGCATGGACTTGGACGTAGGTCATGAGAATCGCTTTTCCCTCCCCTACACTATTCTATCCTTGGTTGTGAGAATGATTTGAAAAGTTTATCTGTCTGGCAATTATATGACGAATGAACATACCTAATGGACTTGAAAAGTCTTCACCTTAAAAAAATAAAAAAGCACCCACAAAAAATCAAGGGGCTGGGGGTTAATTTTTGGGCCACAACTAACTTCGTTCAGGAGTTACTCCCGGCTCTGTACTCAGGGTCACTCCTGGCAGTGCTCAGGGGACCATACACAGTGCTGAGCTTGTGCCTGAATCAGCCATAAACAGATAAGCTCCTTATCTGCTTGCTTCACCTGTAATGCCTTCATCTTTGTGCTAGAATTTTGGTGGGTAATAAATATATTTTTAATAATCTTATCCCAGTTCCTTTTTTCCCCCATCTTAGGCCAATGCTTGTACTTTTCTGATATTTTCTTCTCTTCATAAAGATATGAAGTTTAGCACCCACCTTGAAAGGCAAATAAAAGATAATAGAGCTGAAAACAAAAGGGAACTCAGCTATCAAGCTCCAATTTTTTTTTTTTTAACCAATGAGGAGAGATAGCGCAGTGGGTAGGGAGTTTGCCTTGCATGTGGCTGACCTGGGTTTGATTGCTCTGTCCCTCTCGGAGAGCCCAGCAAGCTACGGAGAGTATCCCACCCGCATGGCAGAGCCTGGCAAGCTCCCCATGGTGTATTTGATATGCCAAAAAGAGTAACAAAAAGTCTCACAATGGAGACGTTAATGGTGCCCTCTCCAGCAAATTGATGATCAAGGGGAGGACAGTGTTACAGCGCTACTAATGAGGAAAAACAAGGGCACTGTATTCTAGATAAACTTTAAGTTTCCTTTCAGCACAAAGCCATCTAATTTTATAAAATATATTAAAAGGGTACTTGAGAGACATAAGAGGAAACTAAGTAGATTGTGATTCCTTTGAGACCCAGGCTGCTGGATGCAGGAAAAGAAACCATGTTATTGTTCTTTCAATGAATTAGATAAGGATCAGGAGACAAATTTATTAGGGTGCAATAACATAATTAGATGTTTTAATCAAGGAATTATCTCACGTAATTTGGTATGTATGTGTATGGCCTCTCAATCAAGTGCATTTTTATCTTCTAAGAAAAAAAGTTGCTTTAAAATCGTACCTGGAAAAAAATAAAAGTCTTACCTGCTTTTAATAAAAGAGTGAATCTTATATCAGATTATCTGCTGCTTTCCCTGCTCCTCTTCACCTTTTTATAGCTAATTATGTGGGTGACATTGAAATGAACCAGCCCCTTGGTAAAATTTAGCTCCTGGGCATGGAATTGAATTTGAAAACTAGCTCAGGAGGGAGAGTTGTGTTGTTCATTACAGAATGAGAAGTTGAGGTCCTGGGGGCAAACTGGAAGAGAAATTGAGGAATAACGGAAGCTGAGAGCAGTAGAGAGAAGAGCTGGTTTGATGATCAGAAGCAAGCCCTCCCAGTGGGTCAGAGAAGCATGTGAACACCCCCCTCCCCCGTGGGTCTCCTTTCTAAGAATTACCAGGGTTTTTTTTCTTTTTGGGTCACATCCAGCAATGCACAGGGGTTACTCCTGGCTCTGCATTCAGGAATTACCCCCTCGTGGTGCTCAGAGGACCATATGGGACGCTGGGAATCAAACCTGGGTCCAACGCATGCAAGGCAAATACCCTACCCGCTGTGCTATTGCTCCAGCCCCCAGAAATTTTTAAGAGCACTGATTATTTGGAAAGGATCATTCATTAATAGAGAAGTTTAAGCAATAAGGTGAGTCTTGTTAATTGTATGAACATGGACATAATTATAAAATGAATCTATTCAACCTCAAACCAAATGTCCAGGTTAATATAAAACAAAGGTACTTAATAAGAAAAGGTTAACTTCTAACATGATATCTAATTTTTATCTTTGCTGTGTTAGAGAGCAAAACTTAAAGTGTTCATATTTAGTATTTGCCCCTGCTTATCCCTAAAGTAAGTCTTCATTGGATCAGTTGAATACCTGGGAACAGAGCAATTGGAGTTGTGGAGCTAGTTAGGGGAGAAAATATCCAGGAGGAGGGAGAGGTAAGTTAATATGGGAGTCAAGTCAATATTTATTTTCACTTCCTAGATATAAAGATAGCTCTGCGTAAGGTGCCGACAAAAGTGCTTTGTAAGCAAGATTCTTGGGTTCATTCAAGCTGAGTCTTATTTCCCATATCTGGAGTTACTTACATAATACCCTAATTAATTTGTTGTCAGTGTAGAAGCAAACATGTATGTAAAACAGATGGTAAGAGCTCACAGAAGCGATCCTTAAATGCCAAGCATGGTTTTCACACACTTCCCAGGAAGGACTTGACTTTACCCTGTGGAAAATTTTCTTTTGTTTGGGTTTATCAGTTTTGTGACCTTGGGCTAGTCAATATTTCTTTATTGCTTATCTCTAAAATAGGAAAATATCTAACTATCAGAAAGAGTAGTGGGCTGGATCAGATGATCTATTAAGGTCCTGTTTAAGATAGAATCGCTTTAGAAAGTGTTAAAGCTGAATCATGTTGTACTAGCAGAGGTTTTTCAAGGATTGCGTTCCCTTTTGCATCAGCTACTGGAGATGATACCAGCCATGCCACTTAATGTTTCTCATTTTCTGCTCCTTATTTTGCCAAGCGAGAATATCTCGTAAGGTTATTGCAGGGATAAAAGTCAGATAACGTTTGTAAAGCACTTACCACAGTTGGTGGTCCATGGAAAGCTCTCAGTAAATGGTAAATATAAAAACAAAGATTCTCATAATCATAATCAGAGGACTGGAAATCAAATAGTATGAATGCTTACACTTTTTTTTAAGGCAAAATAAAGCTCTAACTAGGATACCAAGCAATTCAATTGAACAGAATCCAGGCAATTCAGTTATGTGTTAGCACGTAAAAGAAAATTTGTGAAACCAAATGCAATCCTTTCCTTTCCTTCAGATTTCCTTCTGTACATGTATTGGCTGTCTATTTGAAACTTGCAACAGGATTTCAAATTTATTATAGGAATAGTACAGAACTATTTGGTGACCTTCAAAACTATAAGTTGGAGTATCAGGTAATTTTGAGGTCCGTAGACTGGGAAGTTTATTTTCCCATCTTTTGGAAAAGGATAAAGATGCCAATATTCTTCATTTTTCAGACACTAATTGTCTGTTCTAGAAAAGCCATTTCCCTTCTTCTCATTGATAGAGGAGAGAATGTCTAGAAGATATGACTGTCACTGCCCATGCAAAGACTAGGCTTGCTCATAAATATTTCTTTGGAATCTAAAGGCAAAGGCTTTCTCAGCAGTGGTGGTTCTTAGCAAATACTGAAGTGATCCAAGTTTATGTGTGGGTCCCTTCTGTTTCCTATTTCTTCATTTGTTCCATGCCTACACAAACTATCAAGCACAGTGATTATTTTTGCTTCATGGTATTAAACATCTAACATTTGCTGACAAGAATTTACGGTACAACTATTCCCGGGGATTGTTTTTAACTTTGAATATTGAGGTAATTCTAGACTCACATCAAGTTGCAAAAATAGTACAGAGAGGTCCTTTCTACCCTTTACTCAGCTTCCTCTGATAGTAAAATCACCATAAAATAACAGTGTAATATTATTAAAAACCAAGAAGTTTTGGTGACTAGTAATTGCTTATGTTGATAAAGAGCTTTCAGCTCTTCAAGACCCAATTATTCACATTATCTTGGCCAAGAATGTTGATGGGCTTTTAGAAAGGGCAACGATGTTGAAAGCATTCAAATCTTGGCATTTGCTGTCTCGAGTCTAGGGACAAGGTACTGAACGGCCAGTCTCTCCTTCCTGTGTGCTTCATTGCATGTATACTCTAGTGAGATTCAAGGATCCTTAATATATGCAATAAGGAACAAACATAGGGATTCTGATAGAATATAACATATCGATTACCATTTACAAACTAAGGCTCATTGTTAAAAAATCATAGAGCTAGTACATGGCAGATCAGCAGATTAGCTGTTTTCCAGATGTCACATAGCCTTTTCAAGGTAACAGGAAAGTTGATTTAAAAACAACCAACCAACCAAACAAACAAACAAAATAACAATCACTTTATCCTTAAGCTGCTGTTGATTGTTTTTCTTTATCTATGCATAAGAAATTCTCTCCTAGGTGACAAACCAAATCAAAAGTTAAGTCGAAGATACAGGCTGCTATTTTAGGGAACTTTTTGTTAAATGTGCCTCTATCTCACCTACATAACTGGCACTTGTTGCCTAGAATCTTGTTTGCCACATTCTGCCTCAAAGAATTTTGCTTTCATTCCCTATTTCTCTGAGAAAGGCATGAATGAGTGAGAAATTGTAGCTCTCAAGTACTCACAAAGCATTATAAGACATTAAAAAACAAAAACCACAGGATACCTTTTAAAAGATGAAGGATTCTGATATGTCATCATAATTCCTATCATTTATTTTCTGCACAAGAAAAAATTTTTTTATTAACAAATGAGAATATTTAAACAGAACTTTTGTATTAATCTAAACAACTGGTAATACATTAGCCAAATATGTTTCTCAGCCTGCACTGAACACCTTTTACATACCCCAGAATCTACATGCTAGCATGTCTATTGTGGAAGTTTTTTTTTGTTTATTCAATTAATTTAGCTCACTGAAATAGAATAGGGGATGGAAAAATATCTTATTGCTGTAGGAGGTGAGACTGTTCAGCAAAAATGTGAAAAACTTGGATTAAAATGAGAAATGTTCACTTTTTTGGTGGTGATCACAATTTGGCTTTCTCACCTCTAGTTAAAAAATAGGAATGTCAGTGATCAAAAACAGAGATGGAGAAAACTGAGAATTAGAATATTGCTTTAGGATTTTCAGTTGTTTCTTGGTTGTGTGGCTGTCTCCTCTGTTTGACAATTTAGATGAAATGGGCAGAAGGAGAGAAAGAAAAATAATATTATTGTTCACATCCCCAGAATTGGGCAATTTAGATAGTCTCCTCAGTAGACTATCTTAATACAGAAGCAAACTTTTGCAAAGTTTTAAGATATAGGGGATTGTAAACATTTTGTAAGTTTTAAAAATTTCAGTTTGACTCTGTCGTGCATGTGCTGAAGGTATCCCCAAAGGTTTTTTGATTTACTTTGATTTTTTCATCGTTTATTGCATATAGGAAATAAAAAATATTCTGTTTACACAGCGCAATTTAAATAAATTTTAATGCAAATGACACTTTCCCTTGATTAAAAAAAGTACGATTTTCAGAAATATAAACACTGGCACCCAGAGGGCAAAGACAGTGATTACAGCAAAAGTAAAATGTTCATTTGGTTCCTTGTCTGACAATGGTTTTCATTGCTTTGTGTTTTCCTTTGCTTTTCCTTGAAGGAAAAAAACCCCCTTGCAAATAAAAACGGAGTTTTCTGAATGTGTCTATGAAGAACACACCTATGTTTCAAATCACAGACGATTAGGATGACAAGTGTACAACTACACAGAAACTAGAACCAATGTAAGGAATTCCTCAAGATTTTTTCACAGCTTATTTCTTAAATACAGTCTCTGTAAGGACTACCCCTTGGGAAATAAAATTACTGACAAAATAATTAGTTAGAAAGCACAGCCTGTTAGGCTAGTCTTGCTTAACTGTTGACTCTGACCAGCTATTTCTGCTTTAAACACAAACAGCAGAAATGAATTAAGCAGAAAAATTCCAAAGTGAGATTAAAATTTTATCATAAAATGGATTTCCCCCCTTTCAAAACAGAGAGGTAAGTAATAAACATTTGCACTTAGGGTTGTTCTGTAAAGTAGTAAGATACAGAAAATGAAATAGAGATACTTACCATATTTTCCAAAAATCAAGATGTAGAAGAAGACAGGTCCAGGTGTCATTTCCTCCTTTCTGAGCAACTGATCAATACAAGTGAATACAATTTGGTCGTGTTTCTGAGTCTTGTACAGCTCACGATGGTGGTGTGCTATTTCTGTCTGCAGTCTTAGAAGCTCAAAAGCAGTCCTCCCTTCTCCCTCTCTCGTTTCCTCTCCCTCTCCCTTTCCATCCCCTCTTTTCTTCCTTTCTCTCTCAGAATCTCTTATCCACACCTCCTCCTCTAAGTCTTAAGATCCTCTCTCTCTCTCTCTCACACACACACGCATGCATGCATGTGTGAACACACACACCAGCCAGGCAAAACAGAAAAGCAAAGAAAAGTTTCAGAGAGAACACACAGGCTTTTCTACGGACTCAAAACAATTTGTTCCTATTCCTGAGACAGTCTGCAAATGAGGGTGTGTATGAGCACTGACAAACGCCTGAACTCATCAGAGTGATGCTACTAGAAGAAAGTGAGCCAGAGATATATTACAAACAAAAAGCCATCTTCTCCTATGAATCAGAGCTAGAAAAAGAACAGAGCTAAACAGGGCAGAGTACTTTGATGCAATTAAGCACAAGGCAAGAATTGAAGTGTCGCTATAGTAATCATTTAGGCATTTGAATAATTGTATATTGCTCAAAGAAAAATAAAAAGGGGTCCCAGGGAAAGCTCAGTTGTGGATCACCTGCCTTGTAAGCATCAGGTCACAAGTTTGATCCCTGACACTGTCTCACATGCTGAATGGGACTGTAAAGGCACTGTCATATGTTCTCCCAACCCTACAGTAAAGCGTGTGATCTCCGAATGACCACAACTAGGTGTTGTTTATAAAGCATCACAGCTGAGGTATGAAGGCGCTGCAACCAAGTGTGTTATCACCTTAGTGAGTACCACAGCCAAATATGCAACCCCACCCCTTATTATTACAATCACAACAAAAGGAAGGGAAAGGGGATAAAGAAGAAAAGCATAAGGGTATGAAGAAAGATGGGAATTTTTCTTAAGTTCTTGACTTTTACTCCAGTAGAGACTGTGTTGTGTGGTAGAATAATGTCTTTCTGGATTTGAATTGTTGATCTGTGAAGGAGCTTTGGCATTCTGGAGGAAATGATCTACTCGACAATGCAGATGTGACAATGAGCAGGATGCATGTTGAATGTCTGGAATAACTCCTGTTGCATTATAAGTGATTCTTAAAATGCAGCTATTCATATGATGATGATTTTTTAAAAATTTTTAAAAAAATTTTTATTAGTGGAACATCATGAGGTACAGTTGTAGATTTACAATTTTTTGTGCTTGGGTTTCGATTATACAATGATCAAATACCCATCCCTCCACCAGTGCCCATTTTCCACCACCATGGATAATATCCCTCCCACCCCCATTCCCCCCATCCTACCCTGCCTCTGTGGCAGGACATTCCCTTTTGTTCTCTCTCTCCTTTTGGGTGTTGTGGTCTGCAAAAGAGGCACTGAGTGGCAAACATGTTCAGTCCATAGTCTACTTTCAACATGTATCTCCCCTCCTGGGAGGATCCTCCAAACACCCTTTATTTGGTGCTCCCTTCTCTATCTGAGCTGCCCTTTCCCCTAGAGTGCCCAGCTGGCCTCTAAGCCATGGAGTAATCCTCCTGGTACTGATTTTTTTAATAAGTGGGGCAATAGGGTAAGTAAAATACAAAAAACATTTTCATGAAGTGCTTTTTCTTTCTTCTTCTCTTCTTGCTCTTCCTCTTCCTCCTCCTTTCCTCTTCCTCCTCCTTTCCTTCTCCTTTTCTTTTTTCACTCTCCTTCTCCCTCTCTTCTCCCTCCTCCCCCTACACCCCTTTCTCCTCCTTCTCTTTTTGAGGTCACACATAGCAATGCACCCAGTGGTACTTGGAAGGGCCTTGTGGTACCTGAAATTGAATCCAAGGCCTTTTCAGTGACAGGCATTCTACTTGAACTATCTCCCTGGTCCAAAGCAAGAGAGGTTTATACAGTTATATCATTTCTGTTTCATATTTTACGTTACATATATTAAAGTCAGGCAACAAGTCTCACAATGGAGAAGTTACTGGTGCCCGCTTGAGCAAATCGATGAACAACAAACAGGAGGACAGTGCTACAGTGCATATGTTAAAAGTCAAGAGCATTATGGATGGGGGACCTATAAAAACCTTCTCAGAGATCTTAGAGTTAAAGATATAAGGAAATTGTTGTGGATATAGCCTGAAATAACGTTAATATATATTTATAGATAGGTTTTTAAAGGTTAGCCTGATGCTATTTCGTTAGCTTTGAACATGCTGTAAGAGCTGTTATCACAGACACAAACAATGAGATGTGTTTAGATATATTGGTGGATAAATCACAAGGGTGAACAAAGTATACGGCTACATACCTTGTACCTGGCACTGCCAGAGAATGATTTTGTCCATTGCATTGTAGAGTGTTGCATCCCTAGTCTTTATCTACTAGATGCTGATAGATAGCAGTTCACAGTTTAATATGGTAAACTAAGTAAATCCTTTCTCTAGATAATACTAAAGGGCCAGAGGAGGGGTGGGTGGTGGTGGTGGTGGAGTGTGTACAAACTTGTTCCTTGTGGTGTATAAATGCATTGTAGTAAAGGATTTCCTCAGGCAATGGTTAATTATTGCTTTTCATCAGTTGTAATTAAAATGGAACTCTTTTTACCTAAAAGTTAAATTCAAATGTGCTTTTTACTTTCTTGTTTTGCAGTTTAAGGACATATATTGAAGATGAAAAACAAACAGATGGTATATATGTTCTTATCCTCCTCTTCCTACCCACATTATTCAATTATAAACTTGCACTAAGGGCCCAACAGAATCAATCAGTGATATCATTGCATCATTGCCTCTACAGGGCTGAGCTCATCAAGGTTTTTCACCTTAGGTTTCGTGCTCATACAAACTGAAAGAGGTCGACACCTTTCTTATCATGAATCCTCTCCCTAAAATCTTTCTGAGGCTCTTTGAGTAATAGTAAAATCAATTTGAAAATTACTTTTAAGAGCAACTTAGTGAAATCAAAAAAGCCATCACCTATATAAATCCACATAGATTCAAATTTATAACTTGTGATTTTTTCCATTTCAATTTCACTGAAATACCCTGATGCATTCTTTAAAACCCTACCTTAAAAATTAACTAATTGAAACACAGTGACTTTTGTCTATGTATCAAGCCTATTTGCCATCATTCTTTCTAGTAGTGGATTAGCCATTTTATTCAATGTTTGATTGTAGACCTGTGAACAGCCAGTCAAAAAGGTCAGTAAAATTTCCAACAGAGTCTTACTTCTTAGAAGAGAGCAAATCATATGTGGGATACAAAGATAAAGAGTAAAGAAGCAACAAGTGACCAAAGTCAATGGAACGGAAAGTTTACCTAGAGGGTGGGTTGGGTGGGAGAGGTTCTTGGGTCACTGATGGAGGAAAAACTCTAGTGGTGGGCATAGAGCAGGAACCATCTATGTTATGTATTCATAAAACCCTGTCACTAACAGTATTGTAACCCGTGGTGCTTCAAATGAAAAATTAAAAATATTTAAAAAGTAGAACCAATCAAGTTCAAACCAAAATTAAGAATGAGTGCAGACTCATTTGTGAATATAAATAACATAATATGAGATTGACACTCAAGAGCAGTAGACATAAGGGCCAGGAATTGACACCCAAAGACGGTAGACATAGGGCCCCATATTGGAAACCTGTCTCATGAGCTGGGAGTGAAGACAGCTGGAATAGAGAGGGTATCACTAAGTCAATGATGGTTGGAGGAATTGTTGGGGATGGGAGAAGTGTGCTGAATGTAAAGGACCAAACGTGATAGTTTCTTAGAATCTATATTACAAACCATAATGCCCCAAACTAGAGAGAGAGTATGGGGGAAATTGTCTGCCATAGAGGCAGGGGGAGGGTTGGAAAGGGGGGATATAATGGGGACATCGGTGGTGGAGAATATGCACTGGTGGAAGGATGGGTATTCTATCATTGTATGACTAAAAATCAAACATGAAAGCTTTGTAACTGTATTTCATTGTGATTCAATCAATAAAAAAAAGAATAAGTGCAGACTTTGGTGGCAATTATGGTGAAACATATACTTACAGAGGTATAAGGCTGCATTCTTAACTTTTATAATACTATAAACCTATGGTAAATAAACAAATGAAAAATAAAATAAGCATAATTTTGGGACTGAAATGCATTCCTGTCAAATGATTCATCCTATAATCCACTTCTTTCTTTCCTGTTTGTTTAATTATTTGTTTTGAAGCAAGATAGTCTTTATTGAAATAGAAAGATATGAGGGGAGAGAAAGAGATAAGTACATGTTCAAGAGAGAACACCAGCTTCTCCAGAGTGGAAATAGGCAAGCAAAGAAACAGAGGCAAGCAAGTGAGATACATGTTCAAGGGAGAACAGGGGCTTGAAGAGTGAGCCTTGTGGATTCATTTCTAATCAACATCTGTCGGGAAACATATTTGAGACACTCATTGTCTCAAGCCATGTGAAAGAGAATTTGAGCAACTTGACTTAATATTAATTAACCAGTTACGAAATAAAATGACTTCTGGGGAATGATAGCAAGCAAAATGCGCATCTAGAGCAGAGTAGTCAATGACACAGGTGTTTCAAAAGATGCAGATTTTTGCAAAATAAAAACAAGTCTTAGACATGACTGACTGGAAGCTATTTTGCCATTTTGGCTGAAAATCAACTATTGAATGTGGATCGAATCCCATGTGAATTTGTATGCCACCTTTTAGAGTTGTAATCGGTCCATAACAGAATTTGGTGATCCTTTGCGACATCGATAGTTTGAAGATGAGAACAGCTTTAATAGTTACTTGGTATATATCTATTTTCCTATCTTTCTTCTATCATCTCTCTCATCATAGTCATCATTATATGCAGTATAACTGGTTGGTGACATTTGTTACATGCTAACTAGGTATAGTATTTTTAGTATTATTTTAGTATTATTAACCTTATCGCGATAGCACAGCGGGTAGGGCGTTCGCCTTACAAGTGGCCAA